AAAGTGCCGAATGAACGGCCAATTAGGGAGTGAGACCCCTGCACTCTGGAATTTCCGCGTGCAAAAATTCCGAGGAAAAGAAAGAGCGAACGGAAAGGCGAAAGGTCGGAAGACTTGAAGGTGTTTGAACATTTGTTTGGCGCAAGTCTGCAGTCCCTGTGCATTAGCCGCTTTACTGAACCTAATCAAAGGATTGCCGTATGACTTAGCAGGGTTTAAAGCATATCTGACTTATGGCCTCTGTAATCCAAGCGGGTCAACGGACATATGAAGCGAACATATGAGTGAACGTGCGCGCGTGTCAGCGCGCGTGTCAGCGCGCGTGTCAGCGCGCGTGTGAACGCGCGTGCGTGCAGGCCAGTGAACGCACGAACGATCGTGGACGGGCGTGTCAGTGTACGTATGAATGCGCTGGCCCACACACCCACAAGCATGAACCAGCACTCTGAGAATTTGTTTTCCTTTCGGACAGGGCTGCTGTCGCAAGGCACGTGTATTCACACATGACACCAGCAGAATTCGTCTTCTGTACTCGTGAGGCCTCTGAGCCACGCCCTCTGTGCAGGCATGAAAAAACTCTTAGGGCCGTGAAGGAAGGTCCTCTGTGAGAGACTGGACCGTTTGTCTAATATCCTCTGCTTCAGACATCTCTGACTCGCTGCTGTATCGCAGGCTGCGCATCACCGCCAGCACCACTGCAACAATCACGTTTCCCGCAAACCTTGGATGATTCCTGCAAACCTTTTAAAGACACAAACATTTGAAACTCATTCGTGGCATAGAAAAGTATAAACAGATCCACAACTATGACGCTGACATGCAGGAATCTTGTCTTACTTGCAGACCACACCATACATCCATTAATGTTTTGACAAAGTTGCGCGTTGCCAGCCAAATTCCCAAGCTGGGATTCCGTGAAGCTGGACAGAAAGTCATGATCATATGAATGTCCCTGGCATCTCAACAGCTCCCTTCCCAAGAGTGGCCTTTGCTTTGCAAAGGACCAGGCTATGCTCCTTGGAAGGATCACCGGCAATGAACGGGTTCCTGTTGAGTAACGGTTTGCGGAGTGGTACACATCCGCAACGGACACCTTCTTCTTCATTCTGTACTTGTCATCGGCAGCAAATCCCACCACCTGAAGAATCAGAATCATAATTCATAATCATAATTTCATAGATGAATCATAGGCTGGACTCATTTCTAGACAATGACAATAGATTCATCGTAGAGTCATAGCCTAGCAAATGTGATGCGTATGTAACTGCTGTCGTTGTATGTCACTGTATGTATTTGTAGACTGTACGACTACATGAAAATGCATATTGCATACCGCTGCATACCCTTCTTCATTGGGTATTGAACCTCCCGAGCCCTCTTCGTCAAGAGCGGGAACCATTTGGATGCTTGCACTGCCTTTGGAATTTGGAGCGGCCATGGGATGCCTCCTGCAGCAAAGTAAGCCCAGGAATCCCAGACAAGTGTTTGGGTCCAACATGATGATGAACACAATTGGATCACAAAAAAACATACAATGATATGATATGAATCGGAATATGAATCATATCATATCATATGAATTCAGTTCAAAGAATCTTTTCTCTGCAACCGACATATGCAAAGATGTCCATCCACCGTCAGAGTCCGCTACGTCGTCTCTGTCGGAGAGAAACTCAAAGTGTGCTGCTAAGGCTGGGTCATCATCTGGCAACAGAAAGTTCTCCTCAGCAGCGGTTGACATACTAACTGACTCTTAAAAAAAGAAACTGAAGTTGGTCTTCATTGTCGGAGGTTGGGAAGGTTGAAAGGAGGGCCCAAGAGCCTAGACTATCAAAATGAGTCGAGAAACAAAAGCTGGTGCTTCCAAGTACATCTGGCGAATCAGCGTTTTCACATCTTCAAAGAAGCTTGCCGCACTCACAGCGATGTCTTGGTTTCGCAAATCCAAGCAAACAAAGTAGACACGCCGGCGGCTCTGGGGCAACCCGAACCACTCTGCATCTAGCAAAATACACTCCACAGCGTATCCGCGCTTCTCAATCTCATCGATACAAAGCTTCAGGTTGGATTCCCTCAAGGTGACAACAAGAGTTACATTTTGCAAGAAAGGCCGCGCAAACAACACATGACGCTGTGTGACTCCTCTCACTCTCTATCACGGTATGAGTCGGTCACATCCTAAATACAGACAGAGCACGAGGAGTCATCGGTTTCCCTCTCGATCGACTCAACATTTTCCAACACAACCCAATGTGGGCGATTGAGTTCCATCACATCCAAGCACCCGTTGAAGGTGCTTACGCTGGCCACTGTTTCCTCGGGCAAAACGACGGCCACTTAGTTCATGAACCTCATTTGTTGCCTCACCTTTTTTGCGCCTATAGCCTATTGCCTATAGCCTTTGGCATCTATTAAAAAATATATTAATTGTCAAGTGACGGCTATTGGTTTGTCTTCTATAAGTGCGGAAAAGAAACTGATTCCTCATTCTGATTCTGCTGTTCTTTTGCACGCTGCATTGCGCTAGCATTCTTTTTGGAGTGCATGTTTAGTCGGCTGTAGCTTGTGCACGAGAAACCCGCAGAAAAGGCATGGACCCGTTCAAGGTGACATGCTCGACCGTGTGTCACACAGTGCCTCTTCTCGCCAGATGACAGGGCTGTAATGTCCTGCCATGTTAATTTTAAAAACCAG